AACTGCAGCCTCTCCTAAAGTCCACAGCAAATGTCCTTAGCAGCAGGCACGATCAACTCTTCACCAGCAGTAAAGAGCTTTTTAGCTTTAGCAATGCGGTTTGTCGCTAAGAATGATGCTCTCTGTGAGGACACATTTGATGAAGTGGTGGCCTTCAGTAATTGCTTCTGTTCTTGGTGTTCATGTTCTTTTTCTTTTGAAAAACTCCAAACGTTTGTCTTTTAACACAGGGTGCTTGGTCTCCATGTGGTGAAGCAGTCTTGAAGATTTCATGGCTTCCTTGGATAGCCGGTCACAACATATTATATAAAGTGGGCTTGAAGAATGTGAATCACCTGTCACAATGAACCTGTAATTTAAGTAGGACTCTTGGTATTTTCTTTTAAACTCAGCTTTCATTTTGTTGGCCGTCTTAGAGTCTTCTGCTGTCTCATCATTGGGTCTTTCCCCCTTTTCAAAGAAGCTCTCCACCAATATTTGTTTTTTACTCATTTTTGCTATGGTTAGCTTGTGGGCTTAACAAAACTGTGAGTGAGACAAGTGTGTGGTGGGGGAAAGAGGCGTGGATGGAAGTGGTAAATAAAATAATGGGTGGGCCACGAGCAGACTAAAAGCCTGCCACCAGGTGCAGCTTAATTTTCACTCTCCCCTCCTGGACAGGGTTTTGCTATGAGTCTGCCAGCAATTGATTTATTATGGTCTCTGCAGTCAAACATCTCTGCTGATGATAATCTGTATTTGCAGCAGCTCCCCAGCACGAGCATCACCGCCTCAGCTCCACCTCAGACCATCAGGCATTAGATTTGCATAAGGAGCACAACCTAGAGCCCTCCAAGCACAGTAGGGTTCGTGCTCCTATGAGAATCTAATGCCACAGCTGATCTGACAGGAGGTGGAGCTTATGTGGTGATGCCAGTGATGGGGAGCAGCTGTAGATACAGATGAAGCTTTGCCGGCTCACTGCCGTTCACCTCCTGCTGTGTGGCCTTATTCCTAACAGGCCGTGGACTGGTGCTGCTCTGCAGCCCAGGGCTTGGGGACCACCGTTATAAGGGACAGGAGAGATGGCATACACAAAAGAGAAGGCCATGTGGACAGGGAGGCAAAGATTGGAGAGATGCACACAAAGAGCAATGGCAGCACCAGAAAGTAGAGGAAGCATGAGAGGGTTTTCCCTGGAGTGTTCAGAGACACTGGAGCCCCACTGACATGGAGACTTTGGTCTTCAGCGAGGGTATACATTTCTGCTGCTTTAAGCGATTCATTTTATGGTAACTTGTTTTGTCAGCCACAGGAAACTAATACCATTTCCAACACCAAAAGCCAAACACAGTCGAAGGAGTGGGGATCTCTGGGCGGTAAGCCGACAAGGGCAGACAGAGGGTGCCCTGGGGGCAGACACCAGGGCTGACGCTATCACCGACCAGACTGCACTTGGGATCCTCATGAGTCTAAAGAGCTGGATTTGAAATTTCTGACTTAAAACCTAATTTTTGAAAGGGGCTGTGGCAACAGTGCTCTTCAGACAAAAATCAAGCAATTGTAATTTCACAATCAAAAATTGCCAGTGCACAATGAAAAAGCCAGTGCCAAAGAGAGTCAGCACAACAATTAATTTAGACTTTGAAGGAACTACGGTAGAAGATACTAGTTATAGCTGTAAATAAAAATGAAGACCGTGTCTAATTGTCTGAAGAAATAAAGTATCTAAAGACATGAAAAATTTCTAAATAAATGAAAAAACATGGAAGCTAAAAATAATGAGCAAGGAATATGGGACTCTCAAAAGTGAACATAAAGATGAGAAAAGAAACAAATAAACATTTATATATTAAATTTGTACTATTTTAAATTTAAAAGTGGATGGATGAGTTAATTGCTGGATTAGACACAACTTAATGGAAATAATGAGCTCAAAGTTGTAGCTGAAAAAATTACCCAGAAATTGGCATAAAGAGAAATGAAGACAGAAATTATGAAAGAGGGTAAGAGTGTAGGATGATATAATAATCTACCTTATGGCTAAGTGAAAGTTCAGAAAGAGATAGTAGGATGAGAAAAGGAGAAGTACTATTCAATGGGATAAAAAAAAAAGTGGGTATATCAGGAAAAGCAAAAATAAGTTCACTTTTAGACATATTATAATGTATTTGTATATTATCAAAGGCAATGAAGGAGAAGAGATAGCTTAAAAAACAGATCCACAATTATGAGAAAACATAAAAATCATGGCATGGCATATCAGTGGCAAAATTATTGATTAATAGTCCCAACACAATTAGTTATTTTCATGGAAAAAATTAAATTGGATTTTATATCATGCCATAACTTAAAATAGACTTAGGTATTTTACAGACTTAAATATAAAAAGCAGAACTTTGAAACTTCTAAAAGAAAACATAAAAAAATATTTTTGTAAATTTAGGGAAGAAAAGAAGTTCTTCAACATTACCTAGTATTAACCACAATCCAATTAATTACATTGAAATTAAGACCTCTACTCTTCAAAAACCACCATCGGGAAGATGTAAGAATAATTCCCCAATTAGAAGAAAATATTAGTGATAATTTTCACTGATACATGTTATTCCTTTGTGAATGTGCCACAATGATATTTGTTTATGTTCCTTAACAGGAGAACAAATAAAACACGTGTGTTATATTTATAAATAAACAGCATATACATGAATAAAAATTATTGAATATTAGATACAAAATACTAAGTGAGAGTACTGCAGAAGTCTATACAAGCTATATTATTTTTGTACAATTCCAAATTGAATTAAACTAAATAATATGTTAATTATATATTGCAAAAAATATAATAAGCACTAAGTTCAGTTGGGTGTTAACTTCTAAATTGAGAGCAGGTTGGGGATGAGTTTGAGAGAAATGCATTTATTGTATTCATGAAAAATTAAGTTAAATAAATTTACTTCTGAACTATAATTTTTAAACATATTTTCTTATTTAAAAATTAACTCAAACATATTTAAATGAATTTAATTTATTTTAATTCTGTCTTCAAATATGCCAGGAGAAGTAAGAGGCAGAGAAGGAGGAAGTAGAGAGAGAATGTGTGAAGTACAATTGTACAATTGAATTCATGAGTCAAACATTTCTGGCCTTAGGTAGTGCCTGTGTAATCATCTACAAATGGGATGGATTTTGAAGATTATCTATTTCATCCTGTTTAAAAAATTTCACTCTCTTTCAGGAATATCATTGGCACTTTTGCTGATTTAAATGAATGTATGCCAAGACACGTGTGTTAATTTCATGTAGCTTTATCTGGAAAGTACTTGTTCCATTTAGTACATGTTCAAATAAAATTACAGTTGTATGCTTTTTCTGTACAATGAATATCAAAAAAATAAAGCCACAAATCTATTTAATGATTAGCACAAATGTGGGTTAAAGTCAAGGAAATTGTCCCATCACATGTTTAAACTCTCAGGGTAGTTGTTTCCACCATGTATATGATTGTGCGTCTTGAATACATAGAATTTAAGTAATAAATCAACTACGGTGCTTCACACACACACAGAGATTAAGTTGTATTATTGAGGCTTTAACATATTATATTTCCATTCTGGCACAAGGACTCCATATTACAGAAATTGTTCCTCCAAGTGAAAACTTAGAGCATCGGACCATTTATTTCACACAGTTTTTAAAATCATCAACATATTAATGATGACCTTGGTTCTGATTTCTACACCCTGAAAGTCTTGGTCATAAGCAGGAGAATTTAGTTTGGTACAAAAAGCACAAGACAAAGGTAAATGGTTTGGCAGCTCCCTTTGAAAGGAAAACCTAGGAAAGCTCCACTGAAATCCACGGCAGCATTATTCATAATATCTAATAGGTAGAAGCAAGACAAATGTTGACCAGCAGATAAAAATATTAATATTAATATAAACAAATTAGGTATATATATACAGTGGATATGCACTGATGTTCTGCTTTTTTTGACCTTTATTCTTCACATGTTCAAGTGTGGGATGTTTCTATTGACAGGTCCCCAAACTCACTGATTTTTACCTTGCCATCCTCTCTGCTGGGTGGGCCCATCAAAGGCATTTTAGCATACACTGCAGTGTTGCTAATTTCTAGCACTTCCTTTTGATTTTTTGTTAGATTGTCTGTCTCTGTTCTCACTTAAGTTTGTCTATTCTTTCACGCTGTCTACATTTTTTCCATGATAAACATTAACATATTGGTCATAATCATTTCAAATCTTCCTGACAATGTCAACAGCTGTGTCCTATCTGAGTTTGTTACGGATGCTACTTTGTGTCTTCAGATTCCTTTTTTTCTTTCATTTTTTCACCAAATGTTATGGTTTGAAAACTGGATACTGTGTATGAGGTGACAGGAGCCGAGGTGAAGACACCGTGTGACTTGACTTATGTTTCTATGACGTCAGGCTAATATGGATGGGACGTGGGGTTAGTTTAATGCTTGCTGTGGCTGTAGGTATCCAGGTCATCAGATTCTCCAGTGTCCCTGTTGCTGCCTTCACTACTGACGTCGGTCTCCCCGAAATAGCCCTCTCAGGGAGAGTCTGTGTCTTGCAGCTAGTTGGGCTGTAATTCACTGTCGTGACACTGGACCCATGCCAGCATGGTGGCAAATGTGGGGAGAGGGCGTGTTCTGTCATTGTGTGATTAAATTAAGTCTTTCACTGAGCCTGTGTCTCTGGGCTGTGACCTCCACAATTGTTTCTCAGTGTTAGAGCTTCTCCCTCAGCCTCTTGGGTTACAGAAGAAAAGTAGAGGGAGCCCCAGTGGGAAAGCCCTTTCTCCAGTTGGGATAAGGTTTTGGTTAATCTCTGACCCTGGAGAGTAAGTGTTGTTATAAAGATCACTCTCTATGTGCTTGACAGAAGTTACTTTCTCTCCTCCTTCTGGTGCCCATGCAGATCTTTCTGGGCTCTTTCTTGGAACACCTTGGTTGTGTTCCTAGAGGTAAAACCCACAAAAGTGTGGGCCATCCCCCAAGACTGTGACCCCCCAGAAGTTTTTCACTCTTACTTGAGCCCACGCTCAGCCTCCGACAATCCAGCAAATCCACCATGTGAGTGTTCTCACCTGTGTGTGGCCCCAGCGGCTTCTGCTCCAGATAGACACATCACGGTTCTAACCCTTTGGACTCACCTGTGCCCTCGGATTTCAGGGCAGGGGATCCCCTGGCAACCTCAGTGCTCTGACGTGTCCAGGAAAAGTCATCCTTTTTTAATTTAGTCAGCATTTTTTTTTTTGTTGTGTGGATGTATGTGGTGGCTTCTAAGCTTTTCCGATGTTGGAGCTGAAAATGGAAGAATAAAGAAACCTTATGGGAGGCATATATGTAAAAATATATACAGAAAGCAAGTATTGCAATTCAGCAGTGGCTTCTGATAGTGGGTTAGAGAAATAATTCTAGCCAAATTTCACTGCCTGATTAGCATTAATTTACTCTCAATTTGAAGAAACAGCCATTAGCTTAGTAGTATCAGACTTAGTAGCAGTAAGCCAAGAGGCAGTCCTTGCCAACTTCTTCCTCTGCCAAGATTTAGGATGCCTGCCTGGATACAGTAGCATGCGATTGTTGGCCACTGTTTTAGCCACAGCCATCTGTCCTGCTTCCCACATAAATCCTTTCCTTTGCTGATTGATATATACGGCACCCTGTACAAGGCATTTCGAGGCAAGGGTGTTCTTTGTAATTTAAGTCTTCCCAGGTTTCTGACATGACTTACCCATGTCCTGATTTGCAAGGCAGCTTTCAGTGCAGTTCCTTGTGAATCCTTTTAGGGTCTGGCTTATTTTCTGCTTCCTCCTGCAGCTGGGTCTCACCCACTCTGCAATTCTACCCAGTAGGTTTCAAAAACTGGGGTTAACAGAGCATGCATGGTATTTTGGTATCACCGACCGTGAGACACTGTGAAGAAAAACCCACATATATCACATCCTCTAACACAAGACCATAGTTGTGTCTGTCAGTGTAAGCTTGTCTAATGCCTTTTCCTTTTTGGGGGATTTGGCAGTGGTTACAATTACAGAAATAAAGACATTTATGTATTAGCCTATGGTAGAAGTAAGTTTCCAGGGAGCTAAAGAGAATGGTCGCTCATGGTGATTGGCCATTATTATCAAAGACTTAGTTGGAAATAAGCCCAGAACTTTCTATTTATCTGTATTCAATTCAACACTGAGTGCTGTACTAGGGTTAAATGAATAATAAATCTATAAGTAACTTTACCCATGATGAATTTATCTTTTAAAGAACTGCAAGGTTTACTGTTTGGTTCTCCAATAAAGGGACAATATGTTCATCTAATGTGGCCTTTATCATGTATCAGATTAACATAATATGTTTTTGAGAAATGTGTGACTCAGTGACATTTCAACTCTCCTTATGTTACTGAAACAAAATTCATTATAACCACTCTGAAAAGCACAAATAAAGATCTTATTAAATTTCTAGAATTTGAGTTTCTGTAACTGTCCATCATCCTTCTCTTCCCATCTGCTTTCAACTCTCAGAACAGAAAAATAAAAGAAGAGAGAAGAGAGAAGGGGGGAATGAGAGAGAGAGAGAGAGAGAGAGAGAGAGAGAGAGAGAACAATGCTATGTGTGGTTCATCTCAATGAGCGGTCTTAACAGTAGTCTATCATGTTAAAAAATAAAACATTATATCCACTGTAACCTCTATCCCCCTCACAAAATAGTTTTTATTATAGCATTTATCTCCTTTAACTATAAAATTGCTTTGTAAAAATATAAATATTTTAGGGAAAACCATAAGCTAAATCTAACCTCTAACTAAATGCTAACATTATATTGATTTAAATAAATGATGTGCTTTTACTTGGAAAACCTTATAGCCTATCATAAAGAAAAAACCCTAATTCAACCTTAAACATCATAGTGATAATGGCAAAACACTTGACTGCACAGAAGTCAAGAAAAAGGGATTATACAATTAAAAGAGCAAACTGTACTTATTTTATTTTTTATAAATTATCTTTTCAATATTAACATATGTAGAATATACACCTACATTTTCAGAGATTTTTTTTTTTTTTTTTTTTTTTTTTTTTTTTTTTACCAGCATCAATGAGAAGAATCCCAAAATGCAAGTTATTCAGGAGCAAAGTGGGAAGTAATGTAATGAAATGGAATGTGCTGGGGATTTGGAATTTGAAGCCTTGATTATTCATTCAGTCCTTGCTTACTGCTTCTTTGAGAACTTAGATTAACTTTAAACTTGTTTTCATCACCTGTAAAATGGAAATAATAAGCTATATTTTTTCTCAGAGTTGTAAGGATTTGCTCATTGTAAGAATTTAGTCACATCTGTCTGTGAACACACATAGCTAGCAGTGGATACAGAGACTGTATAAGCAGAAACATGTGAACAGCCCTGGAGAGGAAAGACTTAGATAGAATGGAGTGTCATGTAAAAATTACTCCTTTCATCACTTTCCCTTAAGAAAGAGAGGGCTTTGTTTCCCTCATGATTTCACGCTCTTAATTTTTAGAATTGAATTTAGACTGAGGAAGGCTTGAAAATATGTGAGAACTTGACTTTGAATTATTTGTGGTGTCATACAAAGGCTGAGTTCTCTATCAGGATTTAAATTCACTTAATCTAAAATACAAAGCCAGACTTTGGCTATAATAGACCTACCTTCTCATGGTCAAGAACTACAAAACTTTGACAACCTATATGAAACAACTGGTTTTATGAAACAGGTTGGATGGTATTTAACACGGGGTACAATGGTGAGCTCTGTATTCATTGTAGCTTTTACAATAGGGAAGGAGAGAGAGAGAGAGAGACAGAGAGAGAGAGAGAGAGAGAGAGAGAGAGAGAGAGAGAGAGAGAAAGAGAAGGACAACAGAACAGGGGGTGGCATAATGTGTGTCAAATTTACCCTCTGGTTTTTGGCTGACTCTTTAAGTTACGTTTCGAGGACAGCTGTAAAGGGGCTGCTGAGAGGGTCAGAGATTTCACAGCCACACAGTGAAGAGGACATGCCAGTGGTTAGACTCAGGCTAAGTGGAGTTTCCTCAGTGGACACCATAGGTTTTTATTTAAGTCCCAAGAGAGGTCAGACCCTGGGCATGAGTGGCACCCTAGGCACACTCAGGATCACTTGAGAGGTGCTTATGTCATTAGGGAAGGGATACAATTACAAAGGTAAAGTGGACTATAATATATCAAAAATAATTGTAATATTGTAAGAAATGTCTTTGACTAAAAAGATAATACTAGTGTAAATTTAAAGACTTCATTTTTGAGGTCTGACTGCTTATAACTGTCAAGTCCCTGCTCTCTGCCCCTCCCCACCTGTAGCACAACTTAGCAAGCTGATAGGGAAGCCTGGGACCCCATTCTTTGGCACCAGTGGGAAGTTCAAGCCAGGCAGGGCCCCCCCCTGTGGCAGCCCCCACCCCACCCCTCACCTGTAAGCTCCATCACACTCTAAGACAATGTCCTTTCCTTGCTCTTTGAAGGCATTCTAGACCCGTTTGAAAGTTCACCCCACTCTTGCAGGAAAGCCTCATGCTGTGAGCAGCAAACATCTTCATATTCTCTTGGCATGTGTGTGGAGTCATCAATCTCTATGCCCAAGCCAACTTTTGGGAGTGGGGTCCATTCTATTAGCAGGGAAAGACCACAACAACTGGAAAAGAGAATATTACATTAATAATAATGATAATTTTTATAATAATTCAAGACTTGATTAGTCAAACTAAGGTGAACAAAGCAGAAATAATCAGTAAAGATTATTAATAATCTATTTTTTCTCACTATTAATTATATTTACCAATCTTATACTTTAAATATGTGTAGTTTATTTCATGTCAATTTTACTTCCATAAAGCCATTAAAAGGAAAAGATTATCAGACTAGATATTAAAAATATAATTATCAAATAAGTAAAATCCAAGAGTATAATATTTATGAGAGATAATTTCACATATGAAGGCATAGAAAACTTAAAGAACAAGGTGTAAGAGTACATCATGCACTATTTAACCAAAAAGATATATCTGTATTGGGATGAGCTAAACAAATCTTTAGGGTGAGAAGTATTAAGATATATATGAAAGATCTTTCATAATAATAAAGGGTTCAAGAAATCAGGAATAATAAAGATTATACTTATAAATTTTATTTATAATTTTATAAATAAAAATAAACACAATAACATAATTTCAAAACATAGAAAACTGAAAGAAATTAAAGGAGATATAGACAACTTTAGGATTATGTTTGCAGGTTTTAACATACATCATTGAGTAACTGATAAAAAGTAGATAGAAAATCACTACTACTATGGAAGATTTAAATATAAAGATTAACTGACTTGAATTAATTGACATATCAATATATAGAAGGCTACGTATCCAACAACTGCAGTATACATATTCTTATATTATGTAGATAAATCATTTACCAAAATAGAACATATATGTGGCAAGAAAGCAAGGCTTTATATGTTGTAATAATTTAACTTATACAGTGAATTTCTCTGACCTCTGCAGAATTAAATTAAAATTCAAAAACAGAAAGATAAATAGAAAATCCACACAACTGTAAATTCATTAACACATTTTTAAATAACCTGTTAGTTAAATAATAAAATCACAAAAGAGTTTAGAAAATGTTTTAAACTGAATGATAACAAGCATGTGACACGCAGCCAAGCAACCTCAGAGTGGAAAAGATATAGCTTAGGGTGCACGTACTAGAAAGGAAAATAAAGAGGCATAAAATGAAGAACCTTGGCTTTCAGCCAACAAGCCAGAACAATAACAGCAAATTAAATCTACAGAAATAAGATGAATAGAAATAATAAGTATAGAAACAGAAATAAAGAAATTATGAAAAAAGAATAGAAAAAAATTACTACAACTAGAGTTTTATTCTTTGAAAAGATTAACAAAATTGGTAAATCTCTAGTATGACTAATCAAGAAAAATATAGGAAAAACAATAATTATAAATAGCAGAATGAAATAGAGGTCTCCACTACATATCCTACAGACATCTGGATGATAAAAGGGAGTTATTTTTAACAACTTTATGACAATAAATTTGAAAATTTTGATGAACTTCACAGAGCTTTTGAAAAATACAACATAAGAAATCGGCACAAGAATAAATAGAAAATATAAACAATCCATGCCTTTAAATAAATTGAATCCATAATTAACAACCTTTGCATAAAGAAAACTCCAGGCACAGATATTTCCAAAGGTGAATTCTCAAAATTTATGAAAGAGATAATATCCATCTTGCATGAACATTGCAGAGAATAGGAAACAGAAACTATTTCCAAACACATTTTATGAGACCAGCAGAAGCTTGATACCAAAAACTTACAAGGATATTTCACATAAGGACAATTACTGGTCAATACCTCTCATGAATATATATACAAGGTGAATGAGAAAAACATTAGCAAATGGAATACAGTCACATATAAAATGAATAATGAACACAAAGATGCAAGTAAATGGAGTTTACTATAAAAATACAGATTTTATTTAACATAGTAAAAACCAAATGAATATAATTCATCATATTAACAGAATAACTAATAAAACATTTCAATAAATATTTAAAAATTCATAAATTTAAAACAATTCTTGATTAAATTCTCAGCAAAGCCAAAAATAGAAGAGAACTTTTTCAATCTGATAATGAACATATTATAAAAACTGCAGATGACATCATACTTAATGATGAAGGTTTGGAAGGTTTTCCCTTATCATTGGGGCCAAAATATGAATGAGCTTTAGCAGTATTACAATCCAATGTTATACAGAAGCTCCCAACTAGCATAATAAGGCAAGAGAAAGAAAAATAAAAAAAAGTCTAAAACATTCTTCAAACAATCTATTATAAACAACAAGTGAACTTAATAAGGTTCCTGGAAACAAAGTCAGTACAAAAATAATGAATTTTATTTCCATGTACCAACAAGACAGGGGAAATGAAATACAAAATACCATTTACAATGGTATTTGAAAAAAATCAAATACTTGGAAATGAATTAACTGAAATATGTGCAAGATTTGTACACTGTAAACTGCAAAATGTTCTTGAGAGAAAGTAAAGAGAGCCTAAATCAATGGAGAGAGCTGTGTAATTCTCATGGGTCAGATAGTTAGATATATGTCAAATCTTCAAATTGATCTATAGATACAATGCAAGAGAAATTAAATTGGAACAAGATTTGTGAGGAAATTAACATTCTTATTCTAAAACTTATTCAGAAATATGAAGATCCATGAATAGCCAAGGCTACCTACCAGATAATAAGGCTTATTATTCCATTTCATTTAGTTCTCCTATAAGCTTTGTTATTGTTTTTATTCTACCGGCTTTGGGTTTGGTTTGCTCTCCTTTTTCTGTTTCCTTGAGATGTGACATTAGGTTGTTGATTTGTGATCTTTCCGTCTTTTTGATGTAGACATTTAAAGCTATGGATTTTCCCCTCACTGCTTTGCTGGATCCCACAGACTTTGAAAACTTAGGTTCCTTTTGTCATTCAGTTGGAGGAATCTTTTGATTTCCACTTTAATTTCATCATGGACCCAATAATCATTCAGCAGCAGGTTGTTTAATTTCCATGACATTGTGTAGATTTGGTGTTTCTCTTAAAATTATTTTCTAGTTTTATTTCATTGTGGTCTGAGAATATATATGGTATAATTTTGATTTTTTGAATATGCATAGACTTATTTTCTGGTCTAAGATATAATCAGTCTTGGAAAATATCCCATGTAGTAGCCTCCACCTTTATGACCTAATTATGTTTCAAAGACCATACCTCTTAATCCCATTACATTGGGGATTAAGATTTCAATATATAAATGGGTGAGCAAGAATATTCTGTCTATAACAGGAAGAAACCTCATAGATGAGAGTGAGAGCAATAAACATATACACAAAAATGGAAGCAAGCCAGATGACAGTAAATATGGCGTTCATCACATTGAGGGCCGTATCATTTTCATCATCTCTCTGTATTTATCAGTACGTGCCTAGGCATGAACTGGTCAAATGGATCAATTCAATTTGGAAAGATTAGTCATGTAAAACTGGGTCCCTTACTGATGTAGTAAAGAACCAAGGTAAAGAAGTAGATGCATGTGGTTCCAGACAGTGGGATACAACCCAATTTGAAGGAGAAGTCAGGCCACTAAGGTCAGAATTAACTCTAAGCACATGGGTAGAGATTTGGCGTCTGACCTCTGGAAACACAACAGAGAACAATGATCAGAATTAGGTTTTTAACAACAAAAATGAGTTCCATATTTTTATGCTAGACTCCCTTAAATCCCCCCTCTCTAACTTCAGAAACAGTTCAAGACAATGAAGAAAGAGCTATCTCCTGTTGTGAGGTGTTGGAAACAGCACAGGCTGTCAAAACCAGTCAAGCCCTGAAAATATCAACGATTTTGAGAGGAACACCAACTCCTCTCTTGCTACTTTTGAGAAACAAACTATTTCAGCTTAGACAAAGCTGCTCAGTTCTCATTCTCTACTTCTTAATTCATTTTTCTCCTCTTTTATTAATCAAGTTAAATGATGTATGTAAAACAACACAGTTTGGTGTACTGCTGTCAGGAGGTGATCCTCAGTTTTTTGGTGTTTTTTTTTTTTTCAGTTCTATACAATTATATAAAACTGATTTTTTTAAAAGTACAGTTGACCTTTGAACAACACAGGTTTTAGGGGAGCTAACCTCTGCACAGTTGAAAATCTGCATACACCTTTTTACTTCCCCAGATCTTAACTACTAATAGTCTACTGCTTATTGCAAGACTTACTGATAACACACACAGTTTATTTAAATGTATTTTGATGTTACATGTGATATATACTGTATTATTACAGTAAAGTAAGCTAGAGAAAAGAAAATGTTATGAAAATCACATGGAAAATAAAATATATTTACTGTTCATTAAGTGGGTGTGGATCATCGTAACTGTCTTCATCATAGTTGTTTTCATGTTGCATAGGCTGAGGAGGAGGAAGAGGAGGAGGAGGAAGAGGAGATCTTGATCTTATGTCTGGTGTGGCTGAGGCAGGAGAAAATCTACCTGCAGTTCAAACCCATTTTTCAAGGGTCAACTGTAACTTAATTGATCCTCTATAGAATATTAAATTAAGTAATTGACGTCAGAAAAGTTGTGGGTTTTTTTTTTTTTTTTATAACTTATTCACTCTGAATGGCCCCAAATAATTTTATATTTAGGCAAGTCCATTCATGTTGAGTATGCATTACACACAACTTAACTTGTATTCAAACCTTATTAATCCTGATTTTTGTTTTCCGTTCCATGTATTTATATCAATTTTGATTCTACAATCATGATATCATGATATTTTGTTACCATGATATTTTAGAACTGTTATAATGATCTAAGAGTAGACCAATCTTTCAATAGTCTGTATTATAATTTAAGGCAAAGCATCCATTATATTTAATTATTCATTAAAAATTAATGCCAAAGAAAATAAACAGCACTTCAAATATAATATTTTCATCATTAAGAACAACAAAGGCAAATTATGCATGAATGCTAACAATGTAAGATCTTAAGTGCATCTGATGGCTTCATAAAATATTGATATTATAGAAGAGGTTTCCTTTATATTTGAAAAG